AGAATATATTTTGAGCTGTTGATGTTTCTATATGCTTTTCATGATATACTTCAAGTTTTTCATCTGAAGTCAAATTCTATTTTAGGTGTAACATGGTTGAAGATTTCATATATAAAGTGCATTTAGAAAGTATTCAGACCGCCTTCATTTTTTTCAATGTTGTTATGTTGCAGTCTGATACTACAGTTATTTAAATTCTTTTCTCCTCATTAATCAACACTCAGTACCCTATAATGACAAAGTAAAAACAGAATTTTAGAACTGTCTCTAAATTTATAAAAAAAACAAAACACTGAAATATCACATGTACATTGGTATTCTGACCCTTTGAAGCACCTTTGGCAGCAATTGCAGCCTTGATTCTTTTTGGGTATGACGTGACAAGCTTTGCACAGCTGGATTGGGGGATTTTCTGCCATTCTTCTTTGCAAATCCTCTCAAGCTAAGTCAGGTTGTATGGGGACCGTCAGTGGACAGCCCTTTTCAGGTCTCTCCAGAGATGTTCAATAGGGTTCAGGTCAGGGCTCTGACTGGGCCACTCTAGGACACTCAGAGAGTTGTCCCTGAGCCAATTCTGTGTTGTCTTGGCTGTGTGCTTAGGTTCTTTGTCATGTTGGAAGGTAAACCTTCAGCCCAGTCTGAGGTCCTGAAGATATCTCTGTACTTTGCTCTGTTCAGCTTTCCCCTCAACCCTGACCAGTCTCCCAGTACCTGCTGTTAAAAAACACCTCCACAGTTTGATGCTGCCATCGAGTTCTTGGCTACCTCTTACTCCATTCTCCCTCGATAGCTCAGTTTGGCCGGGCGTCCACCTTCTATAGAGAGGTGTGTGCCTTTCCAAATCATGTTCAATCAATCTAATTTACCGCAGGTGGACTCCAATCAGGATGTAGAAACAGCTCAGGTCAGAATACTTATGCCAATGTGATATTTCTGTTTTTTCCTTTTTCATACATTTGCAAACATTTCTAAAATTCTGTTTTCACTTTGTCATTATGAGGTACTGAGTGTAGATTAGTGAGAAAAAAAGGGGCAGGCTTCCGATGACAGCAATGCTGAACGGGCAGTGTGCGATTGCGCACACCAGCCCGTGCGGCATTTGTCTTACGAGCAGGCCATAAAACCGGCCGACAATCGTACGATTCTCGGCGGGTGTTCGAGCCTGCTCGTAAGACAAAAGACGTGCGACCGTACAGTAGAAGAGGTTGCACGCCTTCCATACACCTGCCGATTATCGTACGATCGCAGGATTTCCCGCAATTATCGTAGATAATCGGCAGGTGTATGGGCACCTTTTTAGATTGACCTATCTAGTACCTATAATCTGGTGCACATGGTTGGTAAAAATACTCAAGTATGTTGATGTGTGCCTGGGAAAGCTTTCTTCACACCTCCACACCATATTAGAGCACCTGTCTGATGATTTTCTTTTGACCTCTGTTATCAGGAAGGTGGAAAGGTGGGTTTTACTCATTTTTCTTTCAAATTGGGTTTTATTAGGGACGCACATACAATCCACAATATGGAAAAAAATTACAATTCCAACTAAAGAGACATAAGGTGTAAACACACGGTTTCCCAAGAGTCCTAACATTTAACAGCCTCAGGGAGCAAATGAATGTGAGAAGGCATGCAACCTGCTTTATACAATAGTAGGAAAGGGCTTCAGGATGGGTATGCAGAGCAGCGTGGTCTGAAAAAGGTATAAGAAAGAAAAGAAGAGGAAGGGAAACATAGAAATTGAGAAGATGAAGAAGGAAGGGGATGAGAAGGCAGAAAAGGAATGAGAAAAACTCTCTGTGACGGACCTTGCAGCCTTGATAAACAAAATCGAGATTCAAAATGTCAAAATAAGAGCAGTTTTGGAATAAGTAAGTTGTTGTTGCCAGGGCCACAATAGACTAGAGTGGTTAGTTTAAATCCTATTTAGCATAAAAGCGGGTATGAAAGTCTTTGAACTTCTGAGTGTCGTCTATATAGTGTCCAGGTTATCTGAAATGTATCCATCTTATCCCGGTCAGCTGCCCACCACTTGTTCCATATGCATTATATCATTAGGTAAGTCCAGCCACTCAACCTCCAATGTAGAGTCTCGGGGCGATTTCCAGTGCCTGGGTAGTACTTGTTGAGCAGGAAAGATAAACAAAAATTGTACTTTTGATACGAAAGCTGCAGAACCTGTGGACCATGTCTATGTATTAATAAAGCTACAAGATTTTCTATTTGGCTGTTTGTTTTAATGAGCAAGTGCATTTAATACACTGGCCACTGAGTGTATAACTCTTGAGTTTAATCGCACAAGTAAAATTCCCCACTAGAATGAAGTTTATGCTAAACTAAGGCCTGTAGGCACTCCTTTTTTAAAACTAGATTTTAACATAAGATTAATAATTGGATTATGAATCATTTTTGTTTCCTTGGTTAAAGAACTGCTGCTTCATGGAAACGCATTTCATTTTTATTCAGTAAGAAAGAGCTGAAGTCACCAAATATAAGAAATACAGTATGTATTCCTATTTTCCCTTCAACGCGAGAGAAAATAGATGCAGTCTGAGAGCTGACAAAAATTTGCTGCATATAAACAATTGATAAGAATATTTGCCTTTAACGCTAAACTCCAGGCAAACCGTAAAATACACAGGTGTAAAGCTTGTATGGTAATTGTTACACCTGAAAAAAGATATGTAATTTTGTTCAAACAATCTTTGTGATCCAGGCATTGCTTTCACACAGGACAGCCATATCTTGCATCCCCTGAGACCTTTCGGCGGACTGCACCGCAGCTGAACAGCATAGCCCCCGCAACCTGTGATTGGCTAGCAAATAAGCTGCAGCAAATTAAAGAGATCATAATTCTGCCCATTCTGTTCTCTATAAGCTATCAGAGGGACAGCATTGTGCAATAAAGCACTGATAGAGAAATGGCAATTCCCTGTCCAATCCAAACGGAGACTCCATAACCACAGGCCATGGGCTGACCATTTATTTCTAGTCATGTTCAAAGGATTAGTGTTTCTCTTTATAGTACTTACAGAAAAGCTTTTCAACAGCTTTCTAACCTTTACTTCACGTTTTTTTTTATGAGGTCATAAGGAATGTTCTAAGCTAATGTGCAATACCTAATTTGGTTCACACCAAATTTGTCTAGATTTAAGAAATTAGACTTCTCCAAAATGAAACCTCACAATGTATGTGTCCAGCTTGGGTAAAATGTTAAAAGGAAACATTTCTGTGGATTACACCTGTGGCCTAACCACATTGGTTGACTGCACATTGTTTTATGGAACAAAATGGGGAAGGCTGCTATTGTGGCAAAGGAGCAGAACTTTTTACCTTGCTCCAAAAGGCCTAGCTAAGAAGTGTTATCAGTTCATTTGTGAAGTTCTTCTTTCAATTATTATAATTGTATGATAATTGTTTAAATAAGTTACTTCACTATAGATTGTTTGGCATGAACTGTTGTGTTTAGATCCTCATTTTCCTTATACATTTATTCAGCTTTTTTTTTCTTCTGATTTAGTACTTAAAAAAAGGTTTTTTTCAGTACATGTTCTTTTTGCTCTTGTTATTGAAAGTTGATTGTTTGCTGTACAATATATTCTCAGTAAATTTATTGAATATTTGAGAGGTCGTGCAGTAGTACATAGTTGCATTTTAGACTTTTTTCATTTAGCTTCGAATCCAATATATTTTGTTAAGCTCAACCTTAAAAGGTATGCAAATACAGTTTAGCGACCTTGTACTGTGATGAGAAATTGACTCTGAAAGAGACTACATATTTGTTACCAAACTGTATTTTTCAGAGGAATGCTCAGGTGAATTAAATTAGATTTTACCGGTCCTTGTTTAGCATTTTTTTTTTTGTTTTTGTTTAAACAGGGTATAACTTGTTGAATCCAATATGTCTTTTTCAATAGAGGACATGTTAATGGTGTTTTTTTTTCCAGAGACCTAAACCTTTATAATTAATATACTTAATGTGTAGATCACCTTTAAACCCACAGCACTGATTTGCTGCAAAATGTTTCAGCTTTTTTTTTTTGAACATGCAGGTTTTCCTTTATCTGTCTAGACTAGTGCAAGGTAGGAATGTGCACAATATGACCGAGTAGCAAACCAGGAAATTGACAGATTTCAATGTGTAATCATTAGCTCTCCTACTGCTAGTTATCCTAAGGTGGTCAAAATTGTCCAAGCATAGTAAATGATGCTCTAGATTTAACCTTTTTTCAGGCTGTTTATAGCCACCATTTGCCTTGGTTGAGCTTTAAGTTTATCTTATATGTTACTGGTACTTATAGCAACTCATCCATGCTTGAAGTAAGGGGTAATTTTACTTTCCATAGTACCATTTCCTAAGGCTATTTGGTGGTGGAGAAACACAGAGTTAAATGACACCTGAGTTCAAGCTTCTCTCTGCTTTTTTACTGTGGCTACATGGCTTTTATAAGCAGTACTGTTTTGAGGTGGCCCTCCACGGTCTATAAACGGTTTCACCATGGGTGTATTAGTAGGGGGTGAGTTGGGAACTCTGCTCCTGTCCTCATGTGACTGTGCTATGTCCCTAAGTGGCCAAGCTCCAGCACTGTTACCTTGAAGAAAGGATTGTGAGTTACAATAACCCCCCCTATACTTGGAATCACTTATATTTCTCTTCACTCCTGGCACCCAAGATCCTCCCCAGAGTAAAGGAAAGGGGAAAATGTGCTGCCGGTGGGGCTTACATTAAAGTGAACCTGTTGCTTTGCCTTAAATGGGCAAACCATAGACTCAGTTTCTGGAGATTTCATGACATTATTGCCACTGATTGATTGACCAATCTTACCAATATACCAAATTTGAAGGAACTTGTTTAGAACGTTTCAGTGTACCTATCTTAAAGCTTACATATGTTAGATATTCTGTACACTGTAATGTGTCCAATGCTTGTTACTTTTATAACAACATGTGTTCCATCAGGTTATCTTGTAATTAAATATTCTTTATATTTCTTTTAACAGGTATCTTAATGAAGAGGGATTGGAAGCTTGTAGAAGTTCATCCGGTAAAGTGCATAAAGGTGCTATTATCCTTGTTGCTCTCAATGTAAGTTTTTATTCTTTCTGATTTTATTAATTTATTTATTTTTGATAACCTATGGCTGTACTGAAGAATACCATTCTGGGTTATAATATTTTGTGTCAAGCTTAGTGTACTGATACATTTCCTGTAGCTCCTTCCACTAACACTTTAAAACCGTTAATGATTTTTGAGACATGAGCGGAACAACCATTTCTATATTGACCATGCATCAGAGCACTCCGGCCTGCATCCAGATATGATATTGACGGTGACGTCTTGGTCTGCTTTATTGAAGAGCTAGTAAGAATTCAATTCAATTGCCAATATCAAAAATATGAAACAGATTATAAACGGTCTCTGGGTTCTAACACAGCCAAGAGCCTCTTCTAGATTCTTCTCTGCATTTTGAAATAAAATGCCATGTTGGAGAGGTGCAGATATCTACAACATGACAGGAATCCACACTTAAAGTACCGACTCACTAGTACAAGTCCCCATACAAGCTGGTGTACCCCCTTGACAAGCTAGTGCTGGTCACCCTCAGGTGTGAGAGGTAGGGGACAGTGTGTAAAATTGTCTCATCAGCTGTGCACAAAAAACATATAGCAGTGTTATGGAAACACTGTCCTGCGAAGATATTGGGTATAGGATACTAAAAGTAAGCATGACACTCTCTCAGGGATGTGGAATTCCTTTTGCCCGAAGCCCAGGACATGCAGTTCCGGGGGGGCCAGGTGACTAGTTTTTTATTCTACATTTGGCCCTGTTTCAGGGAGGCAGCAGGGCTAAATGTAGAGGGGGAGCCGTTTTGTACAAATGATCTTGGTTGGCTGTACAGCCGCTCAAGATCACTTGTAAGCAGCCTGATTGTCACTCCCCCTCCTCTCCCTGAAAACCGCCTTGCTCTCTGCCCGCTGCGTCTCTCCCCGCCTGCCGTCTCAGTCACTTTCCACTAATGTCCAAGGAGGATGGGTGTGTTATTTCTGCTCTGCTAGGAAAACTCTAACCTGTTTTTTGGTAGCATTTTCTCTTATATTTTTTCATTTTTCTCTTCAATCAAGATTCTTCTCTACATTGCTGCTATAGCTAATCTCGATGATTGCAGCTATCTTTTGCTCAGTTTTGCTTTTGGAGCGCCACTCTGGGACCCTCCTGGATTGGACATTGTAAGGCTAGCCTGGAAATGGCCTTCTGACACTGCTCCACGTACAAGCATTCTGGACTCCCTCCACTACCAAGTCAGCCGTGGAGAACTTTCCAGGTCCAGAGTCGTTGGCATTCCTTCAGCACTTGCCCTGTCTCTGAAGACTCACTAATTGGACAGTGTCCTCCCTATTATCTAATGTCTCCATTATTCTGCTGGATTCTGTGTGGAAGTTTCTCATCCCCTGCAGGCAGTCTAGACCTGAATGTTTCAACAGAAAGAACCCACAGTGTATTCACCCTCATCTCCTTGTCCCTTAGTTATCTGTCTCTCAGCTGCTACAAGAGGGTTGTGTGTCATTGAGCTACCCTTTTCGGGGCACCCCTGTTTCTCCAGTCTCTTTCCAGACTCTCTCTTCCTTGTACTTCCTGTAGATTAAGTTGGTTGAGTTTCTGAACAGACTAAAATATCTGCCCCTGAGGATCAGGTAGTTCTTTGCCTGAAGGATCAGTCTCACAGTTCTGGGATTGCAGAGGTCCCCCCCACCCTCTGTAAGATCCGGTCTTCAGAGATTTTTCTTCTCCTGGTCTGTATCCTATTTCCATAAAATGTGGTCCCTCCCTACATCATTCCTAATATGCTAGGTGAACTATGTTGTGGTACTGATGTGCCTCTACTACTAGTGAGGGTTCTTACTGTGAGGTAGTTTGGATTTTATCTTATGTTCTAGTACTTGCACTGTGTGTATCTCAGACACAGTATTTTCAAGCTCGGATTTTCCCACCTGGCTGCTTCTGGACATAGTGGAGCGGTCATCACACCTAGGTATGTTCAAGGACTGTTGGATAGGGGCCCCATTTTACCCTGGTCAAAAGATTTGTTTTCTGTTGTAGGAATCCTCTGACAGTAGCAGGAAATGCTCTGCTGACTTTGTGGGATCTACACACCCAGATCGGGGTCTTTCCTTTTCCTTTTCTTCTCAGTCCTTGCTGATTTGACCCAGGTAAATGTATTCCACCATCCTAATAAGACTGCTGACCTTCACAGACTTCGGATGCATCGTTGGATCTAGGGAGCCAGGAGCATCTCTAACCCTGTGACACCTTTGAGACTCAAGGATAGGCAGGAGTTTTTAATAAGGTTATCCTTAGAGCTTCACCCCAGGCAGGGTTTCCCTTCCCTGCATATAGATCTATCTCACTTCCCTTCTTGTATGGAGTGTTCCCATGCACTTACCCAATTTGACCATGCTGACTCCATTTCGATCAGTTGTTTAAGATCAGTTTTCATGCTTATGGCCTCTGGGTCTAGGTTCTTCACCCCCTTTCAGATATTTCTCACTAATTATGTGAGTACTTTTTTATTTCTTTCTGGCATCAGGCATTGTTTTCCCATGCTAAGTTGCCACCTGGTCTTTCTCCCACATTTTTATTAGCAAGTTGGTGTTGTATCCTGAACCGGTGCCAGCTTTGGTTCTTCAGCCTGGTCTGTTGAGTTGCAGACGTGGCCATTTTAATTTGTTTATGTTGGGGCCGCTAGCAGTTGTTTGCTGTTGCCCACCCCTCAGTAGGTCTGCTTTTGGACTTCCCTAAAGTGAATAGTTCCTGTGTCTCTCAATAAATGAGACAGAAAATAGGATTTTTGATTTTTTTTCATTAAGTGTCACAGGTCCCAACCATCTTTTTGATCATGCTCTTGCTACTGCTTTGTTACCAAACTGAAGCATGCTAACAGTAGCAGGGTCTGTCCTGCAGTTATATATTTGCCTTTGTTCATTGCAGAGGTATAACCTAGAGGTAAAGACTACCTATGTCCATCAATGGACTCCAAGAAAGGATTTGATGGAGAGTACAAAAATCCTATTTTATGGCACAGTCCAAAGATGATATGTGTTTAAATTTTTGAGTTTTAATAGCAAAAGATTACAGAGGACAACTAATTCTCTTCCCTTTGAAATGTATGTAAATACAGGTTTACAGATCAAAGCAGTAATGTACTTAATAACCCTTGTCCCATCATACTTCATCTCCTATAGCGCTGGAATGATTCTCTGCTGGATACCAGATGCTTATGTTAATTATCGCATGGCAGTACAAACGATTTGTGCTTCAGCTGAGCAATTGGCTTAATTTTGTGCTTTAGTGACTTCCAATCAGAACCAGGAAAACAAAGCTATAACTCACACTGGCTATTGCATGTCGTTTTTTCTTATTGCTGAATGTGTTAAAATGTAAATTTCATTGTAAATTCTGTATGTTTTTAGGCCTCATTCACACGAGAATAGGCCGGCACGTACAGCTCTGCGCTCCGTGCACGGCCGTATCGTGCAGCTCCTGGGAAGGACAGGTGCTGCGTGTGATTAGTATGCAGCCCCTTGTCCTTCTCTATGGGAGTATGCAGCTGTATGCCGCCCTACGCTCACCTCAAGTGCCAGGTGGAAAATATTTGTACGATCAGAGCCAGTAGCCAATGAGTGGCTGACTGCCGCTGTCGGAATACAATGCATACAGTGGGTTTCCTCGAATGACACACTTGTAGTGTTGATGGAGGAATCTGCTCTATTTTTTTCATTCAGCCGTAGAGCTGAAGAAGGAAAAATAGAGCAGTGTATGGTCAGCTTTAAGGTGCCCATACACCTTACAATTTATCTGCAGATTTTCTGTGGTCAGATGGAAAAAGTGCAACAGATTGGCCCAGGTGGAGATTACTCCATCCACACAGTTAAGTGTAGATGGAGGAATCTGTTGCACCTTTTCCATCTGACCACAGCAAATCTGGAGATAAATTGTAAGGTGTGTGGGCAGCTTTAGACTACTGATCTGACTTGCCCACTCTGTGTTACTGATAGACCAGGAGCTCCATACTATGTCACACCACCTTCCCTGGGCGGTGCTGGAACTCTGTGTAGAGCAGCTGCTATTCCTCACTAGTGATGGGAATTTCTGATCTTTTTACATGAATCTGTTCATTCAATGGAACCCATTCATGAATTCACTTGCTGAGCCTGCTAAAAAGCTATTGAAATGAAGCTTCGGAGCTGACCCAAGCTAAAGGGTTAAAGGATCAATCTAAATGAGGATCTCCTCTCATACAGATTCTATGTGTCATCTCTCATCTCCCTTTATTTCAGTGTTTGGTGTGCTATTGACTGAGAACTGTTGTAAATTCTGATTCTCAGGGCAATATTGACTAAGCTGCCAAAGGCAGCTGATAGAATAACCGGCCCAAAGTGAAGGGAGCCGAACCCCGTTTAGCTATTCACTTCAGCTCTGTATGGCTAAAAACAGCTGTAGAACGGCTGGCTTCGGCTCCCTTCACTTCACCTCGGTTCAGCCGAACAGCCTCCGCACGTTTGGATGAACCGAAGTGGAGAATGCGTTCGCCTCAGCCGATCCAACATCTGGATCGGCTGAGGCAAGCATTCGGCAGTTCATTCACTGCTGTTTGCCCCTATACTAATAGGTGCCGAACAGCAGTGAGTGAATAGCTGAATGCTTCTGTGCAGCAGTCGGCTTGGTTATTCTGTTCACTACCTCAGAGGCAGCAAACAATATGAAAAATATATAAACAAAAGAAAACTAAAAACTAAACGGTGTGGAGTTTCCCCCAAAAGCCCGCCGACCCGACCGGACCTGTCAAAATTAACAATTGTTCATTTTTACAGGTGTTTTTACAGGTGTGGTCGGGTGGGTGGTCGGGCTTCTGGGGGGAATCCCATGCTTTTTTTTAAATTTGTTTACATTTTGCAGGGAAAACTGTCTGCTTCAGCAGACCTTTTCCTCCCACTTCAGCTGTGTACAGCTCAGCCGAGCCGAAGCATATGCGTTTGGCTCGGCTGAGCTCTTCTGCTCCAGTATGGGCTATTTTGAATAGCCCATACAGCAGGCCTTCGGTACAGCCTGCGCTACGGCTTTCATTTCGGTTCGGCTGAAGGTTTGGCTTAATCCTTTGGCTCATTAGTGAATAACCCCCTCAGTGTACTGTTAGCCGGTTGATTGGTTGCAGGGAGGGGCTGGCAGAAGCCGACCTCTCACTCTAGGATCATATTAGCAGAGCTGCTCTCCTATTGATTCAACACTGAACCCTTTCAAATGAATCAGTTTTCAGTTAATTTGGATGAATCAATTCATTCAGTTCACTGAAAAGAATCGATTCAAAAGAACAATTTGTTCATGAACTGGACATTACTATTCCACATAGCTAGATGCCCAGCTGGACTGTTAGGAGGAGGTAGGATGACTACAAATCAGGGGAATTTTTTCATGCAGTCACTATTCCTCCTTCTGGGCGATGGCTCCTTTTGTTCCCCGTGGTCCCTGTGTGTGTTTATAAAGTAGCCACTGCTCCAAGCTCACTTCCGTGATGGACTACAATCTCACATTCAGTTTTCTAATTTGTATTGAGATTGTGATCCATCAAAGGAGCGAGTTTAGAGCGAGGGCTACTTTACAACACACACCGAGTATTTAAATAATACAGAAATATGCGACATTTTTGATTATAGTTCGGGTACGTGACTGCATTTGTAAAGATTTAACTCCTGAGTTTAGTGTCACATTAAGGCACAGAGCCTCTCTGTTGCTGTAGAAATGAATTACAGCAGTTCTACCATTTGCAGAGATTTTGGTTACTGCCTCCTCTATATGGGATGGAGTGAATATGCACAATTGTACACATTTATTGCAGATATGTTTTTCTATACATGTTGCTTTCCCATTTTTGAGTACTCAAAAGCAAAATGCTACTATATATTTATTTGTATTTGTATTTTTTTTCCAGACAGATCTTAGAACAATTGGAAAGAAATTTCTCCCTAGCGACATCAACGGAGGAAAAGTAGAGAAGGTAACGAGGGTTGTAGCTTTTTGTCAGTTACTTGTTTTCATAGTCTCCTTGTCATAGCTGCGCTTTACTTCTGGGGAACTGCATCTTTGTTTTTCATCTTTTTTTTGTTTTTGTTTCCTCCCTATAAAATCGAGACACTTTGTATGAGGTCATTCCTCCAGGGAGTTTATGAAACGAATTGTGTTAAAATTGCATGCCACTGCTTTTGACCTCTTCTGTGTCGCAAGTGTAGCAGCTTTCACTTGAACTGATTATGTTCTGCCTCCATCCCTTGTGTTTGTGCCTAGCTGATGGAAGATGCACACCAGTGTTTTATTCATGCTTCTGAGAAGATTTAGTTTTTGAAGTAAATCAAACCTGACTGGCGGCGAGAGGTTTCAGCGTGTGCTGCAAGTTACCAGCTGTTTCTGTTTGTTTATCAGCTGGTACTGCAGTGTTTGACTGGATTCATGACAAGTGTACCATCTTCCTTAATTAGCAGAGGGGCAGGAGGGACTGCTGAAGCAGGCCACACTGTGTATATGTAGAGCCATGTTGAAACCAGGTTTTATAATGAAATAGATGCCATTTCGTAGTGCAGTTCTCTTTTAAAGTCGCTAGCTGAGCTTCTTTTTCGCTTTTCCATTTTATGGGATTTTGTGGTTTAATCACCACCGCTGGTTAGAGCTTTTAAAAGTCACACAGATATATTAAAACTGAGAATTTAATCACTGCCGTCTTCCCATCTAGTTCCTCTTTGTGCTTTGCTGGTTAGTTAAAATCTTTCTTTTAGATTAGACATTTAGATCTACTTCTGGCTTAAGGGAAAACTAAAGCTTTTACACTTTTTTTTTTCCTCTTTTACAATCATGTGGAAAAGAAAGTACGCCCGCTTTGAATTCTATGGTTTTAATTATCAGGATATAATAAAACTCATCTGGTCCTTAAATTAGGTAAATACAACCTCAGATGAACAACAACAACACATGTACAAGCGGGATTGAACTGGCTATATACCTAGGTAGTATGGCCAGTTCTAGAGGTTAACGATAGATCGGGACAGACAGCGTACTTTAGTGAAAAAAGTTTATTTAACATGAATGTATAAAAATATAAACACAGCCATCAGACCACTGTAAACACAATTAAAAGCAAGACAGAATGCTGAACGTAAACCTCATACAATACAACTGGATAACGGAATAGGTCCTTATTACTAGGCACATGGATACCAAGATAATACATTAGCGATAAATAGTATATACAAATGTATGTAATATCCCACCAAAAAGTTTAACCCCATATAGGCTGTAATTCAAATGGAGGAGGTATTCGCAACCTTGCTGGGGCTTGCACTTGATCCCGTTCGTGATATCCTTAAAGGTAGATAATACGATTTCGTATCTGAGTGGCAACAGCTGCCAAAATAAATAGGTTCTTGTATCAGGAAGAAGCGGAGAGGATTTCCTTCTAATTGATTTTTAGACTCGGTGTATCTGTTCACACTTTTGGTTCTTTTTATTGCAACATGGTGTCCCACATCAGTTGCTGTGTTTTGGAAGGCAGATATAAAGTATCTCATTCTGCCATTTAGTACTTGTGGATATAATTATGCAGAAAGTCGTGGCAGTATAGGTAAATAAATGTGAGTCTTCCCTGAATACCTCTGAGACCAAGGGGTATGTATTTAAAGGAGATCGAGTATATTATATAGGTAGAGATACTCGCCTACCGTACTGTCCATGCCGTTGATAATATCCTCTTTACTTTCTGATGGAAGCCAGAAGGTTATAAGCTGTGACCTTAAAACACCTTTAACCACTTTATGTCCGGAACAACTTCTTAATTCTTGCACACATGATAACATCTGAATTTTTGGCTAGAAAACGGCTTAATGCCCCCAAACAATTATACATCTTCTGAAAGCAGAGGCCCTGTAGAATAAAAAAAATGCTAGTTGCAATTTTTATGTCACAATATTTGAGCAAATATTTATCATATCAATATCAATATTTTTGGTATAAAACACACTAAAATTAATTTTAGTGCACACAAGCACAATATAATACCCCCTTTTAAAACTATAAAAGATCGGGAACTCCTCATCAGAGAAACAATGGAAAAAGACGGAATCTGTCATTCTACACATGAACCTTAAACAAAATCCCTGTGCCAATATCGGTGATTTATACCTCAATGACTCTGTAGTTTCTTTTGAGCATTTAACCGAAACTTATATTGTCCCTCCTTAAAGACTTTTCCAAATTTCTCAGGGTTCGACACTACCTCTCCTCTCTCCGCTTAAAGGACAATTCCTCTATCAGGGATACTCTTTCCCACTTTACAAACCGGACTCATGCTCATAGAGGCTTCTCCTTCTTTTATAATCTACTTTTAACTCTGAACCCCACAGAAAAGCAACCTTCAATGGTTTGGTGTGAGAGAGAGAGAGCTACAGCTGTCGATTTCCACCAAACAATGGTGTTACGCCATCAACTGGTCCTCTAAATCCTCAATGCATAAACCAATGAGAATCTGCACAGAAGCTCTTCCAGATATGGCACTACACTCCTCTGAGACAAGCAAACATTTCCCCACAACCTCGCTTTTATGCTGGAGACTCTGTGGGCAAGTAGGATCCCATTCTCATATCTGGTGGTTCTGTGACAAACTAACGTCATGCTGGAAAGGAGTCTTCCACCTCTGTTGTTCTTATTCCCTATGATCCTAATTCTGCTCCTGTTCTTTTGGGAATAGGCATAGATTCATGGCCCACTACTGGATATCCCCTATAGCCTCTGAAATATTTTGCCCTAATTGAAACATGATCACTGCTCTATTCTAGATACCTCTGGTACTTTACTCTGTATATCAGAAGTACCATACTACACATAAGCTTTATCTTCCATAATGCACATCCACATTTTGCTCCATCAGATTGGTACCTTACCCTTGTTTAATTGCTTTAATACGAAAATATTGCATATTGTGCTTTTTAGGCAACCTGTATGCACTCTTTTGACTCGTAAAAATTTACAGTTAAAAAAAAATATATAGGGGGGCGCATGTGCGCGACGAGCTAGGACGGACGCGTTTTAGATCGGCTCCGTACCTGCCGGGACCCGAATAGCCTCTACAGCCTTCCAGACTGATCGCCAGACAATACCCTCCACGCCTAGGGAGTTAGAACCATGTCGCGCCCGGGCTCCAAAACAAGGCAGAAGCCTCCGAACATCAAGGATGCATTGGCTGGGGCGGCCCTTAAGATGACGCTGGCCGGGCTTCGCGCCTCTCCCTTCACCCGGGAGGCCTCTACACCACGAGGGGATGAGGAAGGAGAAAGCCGAGCCAGTTCCCCGTCTCCTACCCGAGTCACCCCTGACCACAAGGAACTCTTAGCTCGCATAGACAAAATGCTGAACAAAGCCCTGCAGACCACGTCCAAACAAATAACGGAGCGGTTGACCAAAGAAATCAGGGACCTAGGTCATCATACAGCGGACCTGGAGGCCCGAATGGACGACGCTTCAGCAACGCTTGACACCTATGCCCGCGACTTTGATTCCCTGAGGGATGAAAATCTAACTCTCCATTACAAGCTGGAGGACCTGGAGAATCGCTCCCGGAGGTCCAATCTTCGCTTCCGAGGGATCCCTGAAACGGTAACCGACCTACAAGCTACCGTCACCGCCCTCCTGCAGGAGCTCCTACCCTCTTACCCGTTTGAAAGGCTTGAGTTTGAGAGGATCCATAGGGCCCTTGCCAAGAAACCTGTATCGGGCCCCCCCAGAGATGTGGTCGTTAAATTTTTATACTTCCGCACCAGGGAAAGCATTCTGCAGGCGACACGGAATAGGTCCCCACTGACATTCCAGGGGTACGACTATCAAGTGTTTGCGGACCTGGCCCCATCCACTATCACCAAGCGGAGGGAGATGAAACCGGTCCTGCGGGTTCTGCAAGCTCGTAACATCCCATACAGCTGGGGCTTCCCCTTCCGACTATCCTTCGTACTCAACGGTCGCACCTACTCAGGCATAACGCTGGAAGAGATGCAGCACCACCTGAATACCCTGAGCCTTCCGGAGCAGGCGGCTGACCTGCCGACCTGTCGCAGCCGACCCGACTACCGCTGACTCCTGCCTTGGCCCTTCCGAGGAGGGCTCGCTCACCGTCCCGCTGACGAAGAAACCGAGCCTCTGGATCCGAATCTGACCATGCTGGGTGAGACTCCTGATACCCCAATGGTGATACCCACGGAGCATATTGCCCCTTGATTTGTTTTCCCCCACAGTCTGGTTCAAAATGACTGCCGGTTTGATCGCCAACTACGCTTCAACATTGCAAACGTGAGACTACCCGAACACCTTCCCCCGTTTTCTCCTCATTCGTCATCCCCCAAACCCCTGCATATCACTATACGTTCCCCACATTTGTCTTCCTCCCCCTACAGCTACCCATGTCTTCCGAAGCCATCTGAACTGCGGTCGCGGCAACCTCCCAGACTGTCCATGAATACAGGACAGACCCGCTCGTGTCGGATCTATAACAGTGAGCCCTTTCACCCTTGTTATTACTGCTGTTTCTTTGACAAACACTGTACCTTAATAGTGGGTCTAACTGTCTCTTAGCCTATGTTTAGATGCTTTTGGAACCGTATGACATGCATAGTCTTAACAACTGCACCCCAGCATCATGACTGGGGTTTCCCCTGCGGTGCTGAACTCTCATGTCCACGGGGACTCGTGGCTGGGGAGACTGGACCCTTTCCTGATGCTGTGGTTGCCCAGCTGAGCACTTACTCCTGTCGCTACACTGTGGGGATAGACATACGCAGCTGCTAGTTGTTTGTCTGGGGGAACTAGTGACACCATACGGGGTCATGGCGGTTTGGGATGTGGGGATGCCTCTCAATTGCCTTCTCCTCACCCCACCTCTTCCGTCTCCTACCCATTCTTACCCTCTCCCTTCCCCCCCTTCCCCCCAACCCGCCCCCCCCCTTTTTTTTTTCTCTCTTTCCC